TTTTGGTGTTAAGAAATTTCATAAGTTTCTGTTTGGTAGGAAGTTCACCATCTTTACAGATCATAAACCATTGCTAGGTTTATTTGGAGAAAACAAAACCCTACCTGAGCATGCCTCACCAAGAATTCAAAGATGGGCTATCACACTAACTGCATACAATTATGAATTGAAATACAAACCTGGATCTGAGAATAGTGCAGATAGTCTTAGTAGATTACCTTTAAAAAACCAAAGCCTTAGCTATATACCAGAAGATGTATTTGTTCTCTTCACTATCATGGATAACTCCAATATAAATGTGAATGATATTAAAAGAGAAACACAAAAAGATGAGTGCTTAATAAAAGTATATGAGTACTGTAAGAATGGTTGGCCTGAAGAGTCTGTGAATGATGACTTAAAGCCATATAAAATAAGAAAAATGGAATTAAGTCTAAAAGATGGAGAAGATACAGTCCATTATCAGTCAGAGTTACCTAAACAAAGTATTTGTAACTTAATAAATGATTATGGTGATATGGCAATTTCAAATGTTTTAAAGAGAATACATTAGTAAGAAGGAATGTGATCATCAAACAACTTTGCTAACATCATTAGCACTTACAGAAACTAAAAGGGTAACATCAAAAGAAAAAAAGATTTTTGCCATTTAATACACCCACTTCAAATACTGGATCACAGTTGCAAAGTGATATAGTCCAGGATATTACTTTTAAACAGTATTTTTGGTTACCAAAAAGCACTATCAGATTACCTGAGGAAATAGATCAATCAAAGAAATCTATGTCAGTCAAGGATCTGAATAACAGCATAATACTTTCAGATGCCAATTCAAAAATAGTTCCATTATATCATGACAAACATTCATTGAAAGAGAATTTGGTGTTAATGAGAATGTGTATCTAAGAAATTATGGGAGAAAGGAAAAATGGATACCAGGTCAAATTGTTCAATGTACAGGACCTGTGTCTTATAAAGTAAAAACAAATGATGGACTTATTGTCCGTAGACATGCAGACCAGTTAAAAATAACTTGTGCAGATAATAAGTGTGAATCTGTCAATCCCACCAAATCTGAACAGTTCACACCAACTCAGTTTGTTCCACAACCAAGTTCTGTTGATATGAGTGAACCAAGTAGTCTGGAGTCAGAAAATGTAAATTCTGGAGTTAATGACTTAAATCCTAGACCTCCTGAGATAGAGAATCCAGATGGTCAGAATCTTGGGTCACCAAATCAAAAGCCACTGAGAAGGTCAAGCAGGACAATCAAAGTCCCAAATAAGTTAGACCTATGATTTTAAGGTCAAAAGGACTTTGACATCATTGTTTTGTATTTTAATTATGTTGTAACACATGGTGCATTGTTTGTAAGGATGTAATCTACCATAATGTTCATGTTACAATATATTTGGTGATTTTAGGATACTGTAAATTGTTCTATTGAGAGATGTGTTGTGTTTACTAAGGGTAAAGGGATGTAACATATTGGGATTTGTGAGGTCTGGGGAACTCACTCTTCTTGTATTAGTTATATTTATAATGTTGTTATTGAGTGATGTCCCTTGTATTTATCTATCATTCTTCCTCTTCCGTTTACGAATAAAGATGGCTACATGCTGATGGCTTCTGTCTCGTTGTTGAATACCTAATCTATTATGGACTAGAGCGCAGCAACGCGGACGGATACGCTAGTTAGTATAAACATTCTTTAACTTTGTACTCTACGGTCATCGGGAAGGAGATTTGATGTCTATGATGGAATTTTTAAATCTCATATAGAAGCAGCTAAAGCACTGAACTTATCAATCATTTTACACAATTAAAAGCATGAAAAAAAATCATAATATATCATGAACAATTTTTAAAAAATGTGTTTGGTTAGTGGCGTCACAAGGTCGGTTGTTGTTACCCTACGTGTTTACTAAAGGTGTCATCCCATCGTCCCCAACAATTGTGCATTTTCGGAGGGGTGTAAACCCTCTCTCACAAATGTTTTATTATTTTAGCTGGATACAACTTAGTTTGGACATAAATTTTACAATGGCTTGTCTTGGTGTCACGCCTAAATGTTGTCATCCGATGTGGACCGCACCGCTGCCCCCCCCCCCCGCGCGCTTTGTGATGCTACTGTGTTTGTTTACTTAAACAGCAAATTAACTCTAAGCCGTTAACATTTTTACAAAACTACATACTAATATAGCATAAATACACAATAAGGACGTATACATTATAAAATGTACAGAATATTTATATTTTTAAAAAATCCTCCTTTATAAGTAGCAGTTGATTTCTTCGTTAAACTCCATTGTAGCTTAAAGGTTGACGGAGGGGGCCCACTGATATTTTTTGCATAGGGGCCCAAAAATCCTAGCTACGCCACTGATGGCAAAACGTGTATAATAGTGCGGAATAGTTGGATGAGACAGCCTACTAATTTGGAAACAATTTTAATTGATTCATACAAAATTAATTAGGCATCCAATTAAGTCAAACTTAATGTCAGATTGCATTGTCTTCATGACTTGACCCACGTGCCAACTACAAACCGTATCTGTCAGTTAGAAGTGCCCGTAATTTCGCTCGGGCGTTTCGATCTAATTCTAGACCAACAACAAACTGACGACAGAGGAAGCAAGCAAGTTAAATAAAAGCTTCTAAAAAATCATAAAAAACGTTTTTATAACAAGCTTTTAGGTAATGATGCACTAAAAAGTAGAAAATAAATTAAACACTAGATCTACTATTTTAATAACTATAAAGAAAAGCGTGGGTCTCTGCCTAAATATTAGTAATAGTATCCAATAGGTACGAAAGTGACCCACGATTTTCTTTACAGTTATTTAAATGGTAGTGTATAATTTATTTTCTACTTTTTAGTGCATTTTTACATAAAAGCTTGTTATTAAAACGTTTTTATGAATTTATTAAAAGTACTTTACTTGTTTTATTTACAATATAGTTGCATGACTAAAATTAAAAACCATTGCGCAGTAAAAGTGCCAGTAATTTCGCTCGGGCATATCGATCTAGACAGACTGACGACACACAGACAGAGACAGTGAGTTAAATAAAAGCTTGTAAAAATAGAGTAGAATCTCGTAGAAAAAAGAATTGCGCACCAAGTGAACGCCAAACAATATCTGTATAATAGTGTGGAATATTAGTCATTTATAAATTCATTTTTGTCTTTTGAGAAACCGGAAAAAGCGTAAGTTACTACTTCCGGTCAACGGAAATTACTCCAAATTTGGCAGAAAATTAGATCTTTTACTTATAGATGAAATTTCGTTCATATATCTTAAATATAGGTAAAGGTTTGTACTTTGCGTTTTTGTGTCTATATTTTGAATCAATCTCTCGATTATAATAAGCATACAAGCTAGGATTTTTAAATTGAAAATTGATTTCTTTCAGCAGAGCATTGCCTCCTCCTTCCCCAGCTTTCACTACTCATCTTTCTCGTTGTTGAACACGCTCACAGATCGATAAACTGAGACCTCATTGATTATTTCCTCCACGACGTGTTGCTAGTCACTGCAGGATTGCCATGTTTGAGAATGTTTTGGTTTCCTATCGTTAAACTGTACAGCATGCTTGCACTGCTAAGCTTTGTGTTTCCTCTTGTGTTTGCTACCTCTGACGTTACCATAATGATCAAACCAAAGCTACAGTACTGTTCGTTTTTCGCAAACAGGTCGCCTAAGATACAATTGAACTTAAAAAACTGTACGTGGTTTAAGGAAAACAGTTGTTGTCGTCAAGAAGAGATAGACGCTATTTTCTCCCGCGTAAAGCCGTTGAGGGGTTCGTCACCGGCATGCCAACGTTACACTAACTATCTTATGTGTTATGTCTGTGCACCCAACCAGAACAGCTTCTACATGCAAGAAAGTTTGACTGTCTGCGAGGAGTTCTGCGATGCATGGTATGACGCCTGCCAAAACGCAATCCTGAAAGGATATGTCCTCAAGGATCTCTACTCAAACGGATCAGAGTACTGTAACAGTCGAAGATTTAAGGTCGAATCTTCAAAGAAACACAATTGTTTTTTCTTTGATGCTAAACACGACAAGAGTGGTGCTCCGCATGTGCCACGTCTATGTGTTCTGTGGAGTGCACTAGTTCTAATACCAGCACTATTCCTGGATTACTTTTAGTATATTCCTAAATCAGTTATGTTCCATTACTAGTCATCCATGGAAACTTTTAATACTATCATATTAATATTTATTAATATACAACAAAGAATGTATACTACAAATCATGAATAGTTAAAGATGATATGTTTATATATGTGTGTGTAGGCCTATACTTTAAATATGTATATGCTTTAATCACTGCAGACTTAACATTAACGATGTTTTGCTAGTTTTAAAAATAATAATACAGTAGCATTGCTTACGTCATGGTGTCACCCCTATCCTCTTGTAATAATTATCGATTTGTACTTAAAAGACTATGTAGCTTTAATTAATCATTAATGGAAATGAAAAAAAAAAACATTTTTCTTCTGTCATAGTTTCACCCGGTGCGGTTCGCAACCCCAGCTGTGCCTGTACATCTATAGACAGATTCTATACTAATACTTTAACTAGTATATATAACTATACAACTAAATTAATTACCACAAAAGTTTGCAGAATTAACGCTTAGGTTTTTCATGAAGAAATACAATGGCGGTTTATGTTTAGGCCTTGTGACCTGTTGTAGACATTATTATATACGTGATGTAATTATCATATTTTAGAGAGAGAGAGCTAATGGGGACAGCGAGGTCGGGCCGGTAAAGCACACAGCTGCTAAACAGAAACGTTGCCATGGTAGATATTACTCGATAGTAGGGTACAGCAAACCATCTAGAAGAGAAAACTCCAAAACTAAACATCTGTGTAGTTTGTTCTTGAATGGAACGTCCATATGACGCATAACTTGTTGACACGCAATAAATTTAATTGGTTGTTTTTTTCCATTTATATCTAGTAAAAAAAAATCGTTGAAGTTGATTTAACTTGTTTAATTTGTTGTATTAATGTATGTGTTACATCTTTCTGTCTTGTAAATGTAATAGAACCTACTAATAAGCCTGTTAGTGTTAGCAACACCATTTATTTAGGACAACAAAAATTTGCAAATATTAGAATTAATAAAAAAAACAGACACACTTTATGCCTTTTGGCCAAAACCCTTCTAAAGCCTTCCATAACAATAAAGTATAAAGCTATTATTATGAATGCCCTTTTTGTAAAGTAGCATTTATTTTTTCAAATCAACAACAGAAAAAAAATATTACTGGTAATCAATGAAGAGAACTAAAAATTTAGTTTGTATGCAACATAAATGCAGGCACAATTTATGAATATCAATAAAAAAGTAATGGAAGAAATATTTAGATCCCCTGCATTAGTTAAATGAACAATAAATAAAAACAAAGCCTGAAAAAGTATTTTGAAACCAAATGAAAGAAATTTTGGTCTAGACCATATGAGTGCTTAGGCTGATTTAGTCAACTCTGTCAAATAGGTTCTATGAAGACTTTTGATATAAATTTTCAGAGAATCATTATCCATTCTGGAATTTTTGGCTATTTGAATTAACCTTGTGGCCAAGTTAAAGACTGCATTATTTTTAATCAGTTCTGGATCATTACTGTGAGTTTTCTGAAAAGGAAAAATAAACAACAAAACAAGCCATTTAGTATATATATATATATATATATATATATATATATATATATATATATATATATATATATATATATATATACACACATATATATATATACACACACACACATATATATATATACACACACATATATCTAAAGGTACAGTGTTTTGTGCACACAGGGTCTAAGGCCACTGATATTTTGTCCACAGGGACTTTGACCACAGAGGTCTTTGGCCACAGGTGGTTTATGCAGAGTGGGGGTTTGATCCCAGGCGTTTTTCGCATATGTGCTAAGGATTGACAAGGATAAAAAGTTGCATGATTATATTTTTAGGTGCGGCATATGTAATAATACAATTATTCATTATGTATGAATACAAGTAGTCTAGACCATCAGATATACTGACATTCTTGCATGCTATTGAACATCCATTATTTAGTTAACCATTTAAAGTTAAAGCATTACTTTTTTGAAAAATAATTGGCGTGCTTTTATCATTTATATGAGCTATTTATTTTCAAGTTTATCTACATTTTTCTACATATTGATCCACCAGAGAAAAGCATAACAGGATTTGGGTGGACTCAATGACATGTTACAACTTTAGCCAGGGACTAAAACTCAAGAATTTTGGGTTAGCAGTCGAACCCTACTTTTTGACCTCACCATCCCAGACTCAAAGCAGTGCATAGGTCTAATCTGCAATAATAACATTTCAGACAATATGTTTGCTAAAAAACCTGTTTTAGTGTATCAAGCTGTAGAGCAATTTGTATTGCATCTTGTATCACACTTGCTGGAAATGCAGACGTCTCAGCCAGTTTCAGACCTGATAAAAGCATGGAAAAGACAATTTATGACAGTATATCCTGTTAAGCTTTTCTCTGGTGGATCAATATGTAGAATAATGTAGATATACTTGAAAATACATATTACATATAAATGATGATTAAAGAATGATGATTACTAGTTTTTCTTTATTATTGTGGACTAAGTACAATAGATTTATATGTGAGCAGCTGGATTATTTAATTGTTCGAACGATGGTTTTGTGTGGAAGTAGTGCTGTCTTATTGGGCCAGCATTTGTTAAAAGTTTTAATCGTGATTGTTTATATTTTTACCAAGCTTAGTATTAAGGTTGTTGTCTTTTTATTAATTAATATGTGTATAGTTTTTTTTATTGTATTAGGAGTTAGTGTTATTAGAACTATTTGTTGGAGTGTTGTGTATGGGCGTTGTGCGGTTTGAAACCACAAATTTCAGAGGAATCTGCATCGACAGGTTCAGTTTAAATTTGATACTTAATTAGCCTATCTTTTTATTTTAGACTAAGGTTAAGTACTAGCTAGTCTGGGTTTAACTAGTCCTAGGGAGAATTAGATTAGGTAACCCCCCCCCCCCCCCCCCCCCCCCCCCGAAGAGATGCCTGGTAGAAACTCTGCCCCCCCCCCCCCCCCTTTTTTTTGTCCTGTAAGTGTAAGTGCTCACATATATGATAGAAAACTGCAATTAGTATATGCCTATAGAACATAAACCTACCATAATGTGTCTCAGGGGTGATGCCCCTGGAAAGGATATGAGTGTAAGAAACTTTTTCACATTTAGCTTCCTGGTTGAAAACTCTGTGTACTTCAAAGAAATAACTGAAAATATTGAAATGATTTTTGTGGACGGTTAGAACACCTTTAAATAGGAAGAAGAATAGAGAATACAATAAATTCAGTAGAAAAGTAACAGCCGATTTAGCCATGCCAAAAAAATCTTCTTGAACATGTAATAAGAGAGCTAGAGTTGGTTCGGTCAGCTAAAAATGGGTCAGTAAACCAGAAACAGGGTTAAGTTTAGCAATTGTTTAAAAATAAGAACTCTTTTTAAAAATATAGCACCCTAACCTATAGTTAAGAAAAAAAAAAGTATGGAAATGGCTATACATTGAGTATCTTGTAGATTAGCCCTATAGCAGAAGGATAGGAATAAATGATTTGATACACATGAAATTGATAATATGGAGTAAATTACTTACTTTGCAACATTGGGATATATTTTGCTTAAATCAGTCAGTTGTTTGAAATGTGTCACAAAAAAAGTAAAAGCCTGAAAAATTTAATTATCAAGCAAATGATATTTATATATACAGTGTTGTGATGTGAGGACAGGGTCGACAATAAACCAACACGAAGTCAGTGTATAATAAACTTCTTTATTGCTTGAAAGTGCTAATGAGACCTAGGCTGCCTATTAGAGAATGGACCCCCAAACTTTCCTAACCCCACCATTTATACCCTACCTAACCTCTAAGTTTCCTGCGCTATATGTCACTTTCCTACAAATAGTTCCTATGCTACAGAATTGTGTGTACTATTTATTTACATTCTTTAATCTCAATATAACTAAAATAGACAATAGTTTGAAGGGTAATGAAAACATTTAAACAAAAGGGCAAATACTTATATGTAACAATCCTAACATACAGGACATAATAGATAAATGGATAACAGAGTTACAAGTCTACAGCAGACATCAACAGGCATATAGCTGACATCCATATGCCTGTAGACATCTGTAGCATCAATAGGCTTATAGGGGTTTGCCATGGTAGGGCTGATAAAGCTCATGGTTGTTAAATTGAAAAAGTCCTGAGTCATAATAGACATGGGTGACCTCAATATGTTTTGTAGAAAATAGACATTTAGTGGACAATTTAGTGTAACTGGATATAGATTAGGGGTTAGGGTTAGGGTTTAATTAATTAAGAAAATGGTGAACAATTTAGAAAGACATTTATTTAAATTATAATCCTAGCTAGTTAATTTCCCATATACACTTTTTCAATTACATTTAAGCTTTATTCCATTATAACTTAGAAATTGTTATTCTCGGTTCCCAAAAAGATGCGCAACAGAAAAAAGCGGGGAAAAAAACCGCAACGGTAAAAAGTGCAAACAGAAAAATGCGTAACTAGAAATAAGTGCTGACAGAAAAATGAAAATTCATTGACATATGTTACATCTCTTGCGACAGCCTTAATTATTGCGTTGGGCTTGTATTAAAACTCACTTTGGACAAACTCAATTATATGCTATTTATTTTAACATGACAAGGTTAGCGTCACCCAACCAAAGCATGTATTGAACAGCATAATGGGCAGCATGTAGCCTATATAACAGAACAGCAATGGTTGTTGATATCACTTTGCATTAATTGTTTGGTAAACATTTTCAGAAACAAGGTTATAAAGAAACAAAGAGAGATGGAGTTTTATTATAACATCAGGCTTTGACTCAGACCTACTCCAATGGCGTCTACATTATTAAACTGATTAACTATTTAATGTAGGGCTCAATGAACTTACCTTATGCCAAACCAGTTTGAAAGCTCAAATTTTGTACACTGTTACTAAGCTAGCAAAATGGGGAAATGTGCATAATCTATTTCATGTACGCAAACACCCAACCACCTACTTAACTACCCACCTGTAAATATATATATATATATATATATATATATATATATATATATATATATATATATATATATATATATATATATAAATACGAGGTAGGTAGGTAGGTGCGTCATGATGAAATAAGATTAAATACATCATTATGAAGGGTGTTTTATCAGGGTATTTTGGTGCGAATGAATGTTGGTGCGAGTAATATAACGAATGCATGTTTGACAATGCGGATGAAAGAGAGTGAAGTTTTGCGATAGGAACGGGCTGTTATGGTATGCAAGCTAGGCAGTTCGGACTAGGGAGAATGTAAGATATCAAGGATAGTTTTATGTGATTTAAACGAATATAGAAGTTGAATAAATATTTAACAAGAAAATAATAGGCATTGTGTCAAGTGATTATCGCCTGTACCGTTGTGATGTGAATGCTCATGGTAGTGGTATTCTTTAAATAGTAGTAGATAGCGTCATGTCAAACACAACCCTCTCACAGCAGCCCTAACAATCATGTATAAATGTGTCATCTAGTCCATGTAGGTCTTTGTGCTAAAATTTCTCTTTGCACATTTTTCTATGTGGGCTTTTATCTGTTTACGCTGGTCACTGTATTCTCTGTATCAGCAGGTATACTACAATGTTAGGGGGTCATCTAATTCTCCTATATAAAAAGACTACCAAACAAAACCCCACAGTACAAAGTCACCAACAAATTCCTCCTATTTCATTTGACAAAAAAGTGCTTGGATTTTAGATTTCTTATAAGCTCTTTTATAATCAATGAATTTACATTCACAAAAATGTAAACTTCAGTTAGTTTTGTTTTGATGAGCAGCTTAATGTGAAATTAAAAGTTGATGTTCACATCAAACTCATCACCTCCGCACATTCATTTTAGGTCAGCCCCCCCCCCCCCCCCCCCCAAAAAAAAAAATTACCTTTGTTTTTAAGAAATGTTCAGAAATAGACCAGCAAATACCAACTCCCTCCTCAGCGCTAGTACCTGAAAAAAACCTCAATATAAAAAGACATGCCAAACTTAGATTATACATAGAGGTATTAGACAAATAAATGTCCTATACAAATAGATCAACATGAAAAGATTGTGATGACAAAAGTCAATGTATCAGACAACCATTCTGCCCATCCTAGTTACGTTGATTAAATAGGTACCATACATAATCCTAGACCAAGGTTAATATGGAGGTAAAAGATCTCCATTGATTGACCCCTACCTCTTCCTAACTCGTCAATGATTATTAATGAGTTATCTGTTATATTTTGTAAAATATAGTTGGTCTCTTTCATCTGCAACATAAAGTGTAACAAAACAATTGATAGATTCTTCAAAATAGTTAAAGCAGACAGGCTTAAACAAAATTGTGTTCTTATAATATTTACTGAACCCATCCAAACAATTTAGGTAGACTATTCTTTACTACTTGACTTACCTCAAGAGTGAATGTGGATGAATTAGATTCCATATCATCATCTGAACCAAGCCTGCTAAAAATCTGGTCTGCAATACGAAAGGATGCGTACTGTGCTGGAACAAAAGAACCCATCTGTGCCATAATTTGTAGCAGTGCAACTTGCCGTAGATAAGTAGACTTACCTCCCTTAAAAGATAATAAGCCACCTTTTACAACTATTAAATAATAATAATAAAACTATTTTAAAACGGTAACAACAGTAACGCACAAAGGCCCCTTTTCACACTGGCCGTTAATACTAAAAGATTTCAACAACATTTTAATAAAATAACTATTTAATATTAAAGACATTATAGTAAAATAGCTTTTTGAAAATACGTAATAAAAATTTACCTTTTCATTATAATAAAATGGAATAGAATGAATGAGAAATGCTTTCAGGTTTGTTTTGAACATAGTTTCAGTTACAGTGAGATAGTTTTATTTTATTAGAAAGACTGTTCCACAAATTGATACCTGAGTAGATGAAGCTTTATATTTGGAAAGAAGTTGTTTATGGGATGGGTAAACTAAGACACCAATAAAAAAATTTTGTTATAAGAAAATAGGTCTGAGAAAGCAAGAAACATTTTGTATAGAGGTTGCTTTGGTATTTGTTAATCTATTGGAAGAATATTAGTTTAACTGCAAGAATCTAAACTACTAGATAAGACAGACACCAGTCTTACAGCCCATTTTTTTGTACTGTTAAGGACACTTTGTTTATGAAGCTGCATCTCCAGACTAGAATAAATAAAGCATGATCTAACATAGATTATATAAAAGCATAGCAAATAGCCTTAAGTTGCTCTTATATTAATACACATTTTTTATCCTAGCTAGCAGGAAAGTAGCTTTCAATAAGGACATTTTTATAAGATGAATATGATCTGATGAAGTAAGTTTTTGATATATATTCTATAACCAAGTTAGAAGAGGGAGGGGGTGGTGGGGTGTGGTGGTGTCTAAAAGCCTAAATCTAATCTACCCCCAAGGCTAATCAACTATTGGGCATCAGTGCAATTGCGGCTTAACCCATGACAGTTAAACCCAAACAAAAAAAAAAAACAAGATAATTAACTTAACTTAAACTTTGTTGCAAAAAAAAAAAAGAACCAAACATAAAAAAGAAATCTCAAATACACTTCAATAAGCTAAACCTACACTTGTCAAACATAGCTAAACACCACAAATGGAACAAAAAAAACCACTAACAAAACTGTTTATAAAGACATAGAGACCAGAAGTCCAGACACTGCATTATACAACGTACAAAGATTACTTTCTTAGATTTGCACACAATAGTTGATTAGGTTTAATTGGGTGAAATTGCATTTTGTTCATTTTTGTTCAGTTGGCTAACAGGGTGCTACAAGTAGGTTTGAGTTATATTTTGGAGCAAGTTTTCATTCAATTTTATTATAGCTGTGTGACAAGAATGAAGCTTTCTGAACCCAGATTGATTGGTGTGGGAAAGATTATGTTTTCTAGATAGTTTGGCATGCATTTGATTATATGCATTTCTAATAGTTTAGAAAGGGAAGAAAGTATAGAAATTGGCTTTTAGTTGTTTGGGTCTTGGATGTAACCTTTTTTGTTTAGTGGTATAACTTAAATGTTTCCGATATAAAATATAAATCAAAACTTCAGAGATTAAATGGAGCTGATAAATTAATTACTAGAAAAAATGTCAAAATAGTTGTAGATATTTTAAGGGATCTGATGCCATCATAAACCACAGGAACTTATATTTAAAACTCAATCCTATCACGATGAGAGTTGCAACAGAATGTTAATAAACAAATTTAGACTGTTATTTTCTTCCAATCAAGTAGACAAAGAGAAGATAACATATACAATACAGTACAGTTTGCACCAATAACTGTATTTACATACACTGTTCACCCAGTTTTAACAAAAGTCAAAATTTCTGACTTATTTGACACAACTCACCTATTACTACTATTACTTTTAAAGAGATTAAGAGGTTTAAAAAGCAACATTATTTTTCACAAAAAAAACTACCTTCAATAATTATAGGTTAACAGATGTTTCATCAACCTGCGTTCAGTGATAGATTTTTAGACCCCTCCCCCATTTTTATGGGCTCCCAAATTTTTCTCTCATCAACAGTAAAATAAAAAGGAAAACAAATGTGTATTAAAAAATAAATTACTTTGATAATTAAATATTTTTGATAGTTTAAGTACTAGTATTAGCTTAAAAAAATGTTTCAAATATTAAATGCATGCATAGGGGTGCGCCACAAGTTAACCTACATCTGTGACTTGCTTTTGACCACAAACAAAATTTTTAAAACTTACAATGAGCTGAATATGGTACAAGATAGGAGAAATGCGACCAATCCAGGATTAAAGAGCATTTGTAAAGTGCAGATGGTGCTAAAGTGGGTTGACATTTAAAACAAAAGCTGCTACTCCTTGTTGTATTCTTCTGCGTTCTTAAATTTAGTTTTGGAAGAAGAGACTCCCACCAACACAATTAAGTATACATGTCAACTTGTTTGCGCCATTCAGGCCATTGACTCAGATTTCAGCCTTCTTTTCTTTTTGGATTTGCTTTGACAGCTACAATTTAGTAGCTTTTGAAAAGTTTTTCTTTATTGGTCATCCATTACGATGTCCACACATTTTAAAACAAAAAAGAACTCTAAACTTGCATATAAAATGCAGTGCTTTAGTTAAAAACAAAAACCAGACCAACAGGTAAATAAATCACAGTATGTCTACACATACTAAGGTCATCCATAACGTAAATTACATCAACAATTTTAACCAACTTCCCCTCCCCTACACCCTAAAAATTGCTGTATTGTTTTTTTTTGGACATCACTATTTTATTTAATTGCAAGTTAAACATACTTTTCAAAATGTGAAAAGCAAGTGTGTTCTCACTCTATGAACACCCCACCCTGACCCTTGTCAAACAATGTCACAGAAAAGACTAAAAAGTAAATCGAATAAGAGGTCATGGATAAAGTTGTCTAATAACTAATGTTAAGATGAATATTATAATTCATCCTAAATGTTAAATACTTTGCACATGAGGTTTTTTTGTAGTGAGGAAAATGATTTAAAAAATTATCAAATAAACGTTTCAAACTTAATTTTCTTAACATAGTGTATATTCAGCTTTTAAAATTTTGTAAGTCTAATAAGACATTACTGACAATCACAAATCCCCAAATCAATCATTAGCATTGCAAGGTGCACAAGGCTTGTTACTGAGGGGATATAAAATTTTATATTTTTGAGGACGTCATAAATGGATGACCAGTTATTAACACTTTGAGCTAGGTTTAAACTGTAGTTTGGGTAAATATTGGAAAAGTCACCCTAATAGTACTGGGGAAGCAGTAGCTGATGAGTGCAGTCCTGGTTTCTGGCATGACTATACCAGTGCTAGTGGGGCATTGGGTTGCTCCCTTGTGAATACCTTACACCTGGGTCCACTGATTGGGAATACTACACAGGAGTGATAGATACTACTTTAATCAGCAATCAAATTGCACCAGGGACATCATCTTGTAATTGAGGGTGGGTGACCCAGAGCACCCCAGGTCCCACATGAGCTACAACAATCAATGACTAAACTGAAAAAAGGGACATCTTTTCTGGATCAACCATATCAAAAAAAAGGTGCTGGGAAAAGTCAGGCTAGATTTGTTAAAATATAATCATTTAATCTCACGGCTTAGTTGAACTTTGTTAGGTTTTGGTTTTCAATCATGTCAGTGGCTGTGTGTTATTTAAAAAATAATTTATCTACTAGACCTAACCAATCTATTCAACCGCAGAAGTTAGACCAACATAAAAAAACAAATGAAGAGAAAGTTAATTTTTGTCAGCTCAATGGGTTTTCCATCAGAACCATCTGATTGATAATGACTACTAGTTTTGTCAGTTAAAAACTTATTAATGAAAGCAGCTTTTACCATATTAGGGCCTGTTATCACAACAAAATTTCTGTGTTCAGAAGAGTACTGTAAAACAATAAAGTAAAGACTTTAGAGCATAACTTGAATATTTCTATTGAATTTACATTGTTTTAATGTATTCTTTATTTGGATGAATTTTTCAAGTTGAATGCCATGAATGAAAATGTTTTTCTGACCTCCAAGAGAAGAGATGAACTAGCAGTCAAATGATCTTAAATAGGGTCAATAGCATCTCTTTACTTGGATGACAGAAAAACTGTCATAGGGGTGATGCCAATGTTGAAATTGTTATTATTTAGTAGATGAAAACAGCCTCTTGTTAAAAATAAATTAATTTAATTATAACATTAGACATAGGTATTATGTTGGTAAAAACATTTTTTTCAAAAACTTACTTCAATTGTAAGATGGACATTTGAAATAATACACTATCTGAAGTAGTACATGCAGGCATACATGAGATGACCTTTTAGAACTAAATGTTAACAACAACTTACTGTGTCATTGGCTATGAGATTATCATGTGAGACTTTTTTCAACATTGGATGGGCACCTTGTTTTATGGCTAAAGTATCAGTAAACTCTGGACATACTAGATGGAAACAACATTGTTTTTAACTTCATGGAATTGTTTCAAATGAAGGTTTACATAAATTAATTCATTATTGACAAGTGACATTTTTTCCTAAGTAAAATCTTAAGTAAATAAAAAAAAACAAATTTATAAAACAAATTTTTAAATATTGTGCTTACCTTATATTAATAAAAACAATTTTAAAAATAGCAAATGGATACCGATAAGTAAAATTAAATTTTTGTTGCATATTTTAATCTATGACTGTAAAAATAATGAAGATTTACCATATGATGAAACAGTAGCAGCATGAGCAAATGAAAGTATGAGATCAACCATGGATACAATGTCTGACAGCTGATAGAGGCAACCTATGTGTTCATGCACTGATCCTAGTAGTTCTGAGACTATGCTGACACACCAACAAGAGAAATAAGTATGAAGATTTTCAAAAACACAAATAAGTGGCGACATTTTTCTTGGGGTCGGGGGGTTAGAGTTAGGGTTATTTGGTTCACTAGTGTAATATTAAGTTTAAGGACCTCAAACATTAGTAGGGTTAACAGTGGCTCCTCTTAATAAATTTCCCTTTGAACTTTTAAATGCATATTCAAATTCTATAGTGTAAAAGAATTAACGTTATTTCATCATATTATATTATAAATAACTAGCGAGCCCGTCCTCGCGCGTTGCTGAAGGGTTAAAAAAAATGTCCCATGGCAAATCGTACCCTGCCGGGGCGCAGTCAGACGGCCTGATTCAGTTTAGGGAATGACTATAATACTACTTATCCATATTCTACCACAATCTTTAAAGCCAACATATGCATGACAAGTGTGCCAAAAGTGGTAAGTTATTTTTTGTTAAAAAAGAAACACTCCATTTGATATTAATAAACAAAATACAACACAATAAACCTTAAAATATGCCGTTTAAATAGTTGACACATGACATAAGACAAAATATAACAAAGTTACTACAGTGCAGTCTAGTCACCAAACTTTTATTATTGCTTTGTGAGCCATCAAAAAATGAAAAAAAAACAAAAAACCCAATATTTACAGGAGGACTGGATAACAAATGTCATTTCAAAAAGGGAAAACAGAACTACACTTGAATTTTTACGTGGCATAGTGTACAATTTATCATACTAGGCCCTATTTTTTTTCTATTTTGTAATATACCTTTATCATTATGTAACTGGTTTTCAATAAAAAATTAAACATGTCTGTAATTGTAGTTTGTTGATTTATAAAACATGTCGGCCTTTTAGCAGTCGGCCTTTTGACTGGATCCCATTTCTGCTGGTTAAAAGAAATTGTTTTTCTTTATCTGCTGTGTCTTACATTTCAAAAGCAGTTTTTCGTTTTTCCTCCTTTGTCCCATGGGTGTTTCATTGTTGGCAGAACCACAACAAATTATCCTGAAGCAATCTAATATTAAGTTCAATTGGAGGTCATTGAGTCCACCCCGCTCTGATGGGTACCTGACTCACATTACAGAAAGTAAAGGCAGTTGGGAATAGTGCTGACCACACTATCTCTTTCTTTCTTATGCTGAGGTCAAAGAAACTGCCAAGTTCAAAAGGGTAACTTTACTAACTGGATTATGGGGCATCTATACAATAATACAAAGCATGAGAGTGGGGTCCTCCAAATCCCATCACATACCTGATTTTTGTGATAATGTGCTTTTTTTGGGAGAGAGGTGTACTTTGAAAAAAAATAATAAGATTAGTATTAATTTTAAAATATAAGTAAAGAAAAACATAAGTTTTGTGACTTTTTCAATAATTTTAATGGGGTTGGGGTGGAGGGGTTAACCTTGAATAGTATGCATCACTTTACTTATAAACAATTATCCAGTCACGATCTCTATGGAAATTCTTGGTGGCCATAATGTTCTAGGCAAATCTTTGTGTTGTCAAGGGTGGCTTGACACACATGTTTACCTAAACTTACAAAGTACTTCTAAATCCTCAGTTTTGTATCTACTGAATTAGCTGGACAAGCTGTCCCCAAAAGTACAAACTTAGTTGTGCATTATACAAGGTTTTCCCTGGTCGATTCATCTGTGTCATACCATACCAGTTTGTAAACTCATTCTTTACAAGAACCTCTATTTTCAGTTGACTAGCTCTGTCTAAATTGTCTTAACTCTAGTTGACCCGCAATGACCTTGGCTCCCAGTAAGTATAAACACTAGTTGTCCAAGTGTAGCACCTGTCCACCCTGGCAATCTATTTTAAGCTTCAACAGATGATGTTTCAACAACTCAGTCTCTATCAATCCAACTTTCTCAAGCAGTAAACATTGTCAAACACTAATTACATTCAAAAGGGGTTTGGGAATCTACTTTTCTAGTTACAATTATAAGAATGATTAAAATTCATATTTGTCCTTTAATTTAATATAATTATTTTTATTTTGTTTGGGGATGGGGTGGTGGGGAATGCACCCCCCCCCCCCTTCCTTCCCTCCCTCGAAAGAATGCTTGAAAGAAACTCTGAAAGTAACTAGGGCTTTAATAGAGTAACTAGGTCTTTAATAAAAAAAATAAACAACAAGACCTTATAAAGTAATTTTTTGGTGGGCCTATAGATTAATTCTTCTGTCAGACGGAAACTGAAAATATGTTGATACACTTAAAATAAAGATAAGAGATAAACTTGGTTAATTTAGATTTTTAATAATTAATTATTTATTTAATTACAGCCTAAATGGTATTTAGGCAAAATTGTAATGCCTTAGACATTACAATTTTTCATTAAAACTTGTTTGGGATTTAATTAAAGAAATTATAAGTAATTATAAAAAATGTAGCTTCTAGTAGGGCCAGAGAAGTTATTTGCTCTGTTATAGGCTCCTGCCCTGTTTTTCTGACAGTGCAAATAAGAAGGAGAAACTGGCGCTGGGTGGGGGACACACTGCAAAAAGCTCACCCAAATGTGACACACCAAGCGCATGAGTGGAACCCTAGGGAAAGCAGAAGAGAGGGTGCCCAAGACAGACCTGGAGGCAGAGTCTTCTTGAAGAACTGAAGCCAACAGGGATGTCTTAATAGCCGGGTTTCAGGCGAAATGGAAGGAAATGGTGGAGGCTCATGTTCCATAAGCAGCAAAGAGGACTAAGTTAAGTAAGTCAAAAGAAGTTATATATTTTGAAATTGTGTGCTCAAAAACTCAAGATCAGTATATTTAAAGTAATTTTACAATCAGCTGAGAGCTAGGAATTAGGATGTGCTTATACTAGGTTTTGACGCATGACTCATCTGGAAATTTAGAATTATGTTCTATGTTTTCACTCAAGAAGCGAAAACAAAAACTTGACCCAGAAAATAAAAAGGGGCGTGGTTTCGTGCCCAGCGACTCAGAAGATGTTCCATTGTTCCATGTACCCATAACACGTTTAGTATACACTTAAGTCAAGTCTAGTATACATGTTGTAAGTGTAAATGCTGTGTAATGGATTCAGAAAGAATCTGAAAGACGTTTGGGTTCAAAGGTTTAGTGTGCACTGAGGAAAACTAACTGGGAAATCAATCCTTTTCTTGAAAAAAATTAAAACAGTAAAAATGTAACTTACATATTAGACATCATATAAATTTCGTCTAGTGCTATTTTAATTCTTTCTGGAGAAAAAACAGAGATGATTTTGTAAAAACATTAATTACCACTTATTTACATTAAAACAATAAAAAATAAATTATTGAAGTATACAAAGACTATTTTTAACATAAGATAAAAACATGAAAGTATAACAGTAAATTAATATAAAATAGGGTGAAAATTGACTATCCTACTTGCCATTTTGTTGAATCTAGACAGGATATCATGAAAATACAAATATAATTTTAAATGATGTCAATTAGAAGCATCTATCACATAAACAATTAGAAATTTGTAATGTTACATCATACTTAAAACATCACAATTTTCTTTTACTTAATAAGCAGATTTAATTTCATTCAATAATTCTCGTCCTTACCACGTCCATAGTTGTAAAACTCAAAGTGTTTTTAAATTTTGTCACTTTGATAAATACAGGTGGTAGGCTGTCTGATGAATATTTACTGTTTCCTCGTTCTGCTGTCATCTGAATGTGAAACCCTCGTAGACTGCTATAAGCTGTCCTTAGTGCAAGTTTATGTGTCTCTGAAAGCTGCTGGACAATAGCTGTAAAATACAAGAGAATACTAAATAACAGAGGTTAGCATACACTAGCTGTAAGCAGAGTTTCTTCCAGGCATCTCACAGGCAGGCACAGAAAGTCTAACCCCCCCCCCCCCCCAAGAGACTGAACTGTTCACCTATATGAGCCTCAAATCTTGAATATACGTTGCCTAGTGGAAAATGAGCTACTTCACAATAACAACAGCATTGAAGTGAAGGTTGGCATTGAATTACAAGATACAAGAGAATTGAATTGAAGAGAGTACAACTTGCCATGTATGTCATCCACTAGTTCAGAATAGGTCCTTCTTGCCACATCTAAAAGTCCCTTCAAAGTTAAAAATTATTAATGTTTTTATTTTATAAGAACAATGCAGTTTTCAACAAAAAGTTTAACCATTTTAAAATAATATTCTAAATTATTTGTTCAAGTGTAATATTAAAACCTTATTTTGAACAATAAACCATTACTTAACAGCTGAATTTTTTGAAGGTTTTAAATTTTTTATTTACTAATGAGTAAAACACAGTTAAGTGTGTCAAAATCATCAGTCTTAAATTTGGAATTTTGGATCATTGAATGTGGTCATGGCATATACCATCTACTTTTACATTTTAAAAACAAATATAACTCATGTCCTGCATATTAGATATAAATTTAAGATAGCAGTGCTCTTATTATTTTTAAACCACTACTCAGGAGATAAATAAATAAAGGCATTTATACCTAGAACAGAGGGTCAGCCCATACCACCACCCCCCCACCCCCACCCCAAGGTACAACAAACATTGTCATAAAAACCCAGAACCCCACCTTGCGGGTGAAGATTATAATGCTTTTAACATTTTTTTTTTTCTTGCCAAAAACAAAATGCGTTTAATACTTTGAGTGAGTTTGTGGTTGGTAAGGGGAAAAAAATAATGTATTTATACTATGACATTTAAAACAATCATGCTACTTATTTTTCTCAACAAATTCTGCATTCTATTTTAATGCTTAGACCCTATAAATATAAATCACAGAAAATTTGAAATCTGTATATCAGTTAATAGGTAAACAATGCATGTTATTGAAATAGTAAATTGGTAGTAAGTCTAGGGAGGTCTACTAAATGGGATGCATGTGGAAGACAGGGTAAAGGGGGTGGTTCTAAAATCCAAAATTTTATGCTCATATTCCTGTAGCTGCCATAAGTGAGTTAATTTGCATATAATTTTTATTGTAGTGGCTATTATCAACCCCACATAATTCATCTATGTGGTTAAAATTAATTTTAATGTCAATAAGAACATTTCTGATTTTCATTACAGGCTCAGTATTCATTACAATAATAGTTCAAGTTTAAAAACCATCCTTTACTTGAAGCAGTTCATAAAATTTATAATGTACAAGTTTTAAGAAAAATATTCTATAGCATATATATATACATATATATATTTATGTATATATATATATTTATGTATATATATATATTTATGTATATATATATATATAGTATATTTATGTATATATATATATTTATGTATATATATATATTTATGTATATATATATATTTATGTATATATATATATTTATATATAAAT